ATGATACTTATAACAGCAGCTACAATAATAATGATAGAATAATGATAATAACAATAGTAATAAAGATAATGACAGCAACAAAAATGATAACAATAATAATAAAAGTGATGATAACAGTGATTGCGATGATAATAATTATGGTAGTAATAAAAAAAAAGAAAGAAATTCATGACAGTGTTAAGTGTAACGATAACAGTAATAATGGCAACAGCAAATAACAATGATAGTAGTAATAATAATGGTAATATGATATTAATAGCTAATTCTTATTAGTAGTTGTCGTAGAACAATAACAATGATAATGATAATAATGATGATGGCTAATAATAATAATAATAATAATAATAATAATAAATATCATCATCATAATAATGAATAATGAATAATAATAATAATAATAATAGCAATGATGATAATAATAATAATAATATAATATAATAATGACGATGATTGGTGATAATAATAATCATAATAATGATAATGGTGATAATGATAACGATAAAAATATGATGATAATGATATGAATGATGATAATGCTAAAATGACTGATGATAACATCCATTAACAGATATCCGGAAGAATCGAATATCAAGATATAAATGAGATACGAATTAGAGATCGAGACGAGAAGAGAGAGTTGAGAGAGAGAGAGGAGAGAGAGAAACGAGATAGAGAGTAGAGAGAGAGAGGAGTGAGAGAGAGGAGAGAGAGAGAGAGAGAGAGAGATAGATGAGAGAGAGAGAGAGAGAGAGAGAGGAGAGGAGAGAGAGAGAGAGAGAGAGAGAGAGAAGAGACGGAACGCGGAACAAAGTTTTTTGTTTTTTTTTTTTTGTAACAAGAGAAATCCAAAATGCGCTCGTTTATTGGCAAAATCGAATCCAAAATCTTAACATTGAGTTTAATGGAAGGAGTAAAAAGATAAGACGTATCGATTTGTCAAGTATTTTGGATTTTATCTGGTTTGTATTGTTTTCTTGTTGTTCTGTTGTTGTCACATGTTGATCTATTTTATTTTATTTTTTGTTTGTTTGTTTTTCTCTTTTGTTCTTCTTTATAACTATTCTGTATTTGTTGATTCATGTATTTACTTCTCTAACCATTTCTAGCATATTTAGATTAATATTTTTTTCGTTACTTTTATTTTTTAATCTTTTTACTTTTTTTTTCTCATCCATTTTTTTAAGCTCACTTTACCAATGCAAACACACACACACATTCTTTGTTCTACACGCATAAACATTTTTAACTTCTAAACATTCATGCTTTGTTCTCTGGGCCTAAACAACACACGTGCAAGCATAGTCATAGGATATGATAATGATTATATGATGATAATAATTTTAAGCTGTAATTGTATAATTATAAAGTCCTGGGATAACTTGCAAATATGTCGGTCTATTTATCTATTTATCAGTCTATATCTCTGTCTGTCTTTTTACCTGTGTGTATGTAGATGTATCTATCTATATATATATACATATATGTATATATATATATATATATATATATATATATATAGTATATATATATATATATATACATATATAATATATATACTATATATATATATATATATATATATATATATATAATATATAATATATATATATATATATATGTGTGTGTGTGTGTGTGTGTGTGTGTTGTGGTATATGTATATAATATATATGTATATATATATATATATATATATATATATATATATATATATATATATATATATATATTATATATATATTATTATATATATATTATATATATATATATATATATATATATATATATATATATATATATATGTGTGTGTGTGTGTGTGTGTGTGTGTGTGTGTGTGTGTGTGTGTGTGTGTGTGTGTTGTTGTGTGTGTGTGTGTGTGTGTGTGTGTGTGTGTGTGTGTCTGTGTGTGTCTGTGTGTGTGTCTGTGGTGTGTGTTCTGTGGTGTGTGGGTGTGTGTCTGTGTCTGTGTGTGTGTGTTGTGCTGTTGTGTGTGTGTGTGGTGTGTGTGTGTGTGTGTGTGCTGTGTGTGTGTGTGTGTGTGTGTGTGTGTGTTTGTGTGTGTGTGTGTGTGTGCTGTGTGTGTGTGTGTGTGTGTGTGTATGTGTGTGTGTTCGTGTTGTGTATGTGTGTGCGTGTGTGTGTGTTTGTGCGCGTTGTGTGTGTGTGTGTGTATGTGTGTGTGTATGTGTGTGTATGTGCGTGTGTGTGTGTGTGTGTATGTGTGTGTGCTCTGTACGTAAGAATAGATTTCAAAGAATAAACTGAGCAATAAAGCAAAAAAAAAATCCCCTAAAAAGAAAAAAAGGACAACAACGGCCACCTCTTCAAAGTGCACCACATCTTTTCCCTATCATCAGCTATATCTCTTTACAGACATACACACCTTGCAGATGTTTGCGGTAAACTCAGGTAAAAGACAACAAAAAAAAAGCAAACACAGAGAAAGATCCCCCCCCCCCCCTCCCCCATTCCCCATTAAAAGAAATAAAAATTACCATTCACC